TGCTGTGACAGATGGATACAAGAACATACCCCCATTTAGCCACTTTTTTACGCTACACACATTCAACAGTATTCCATCTGATGATGGCTGAAAACCCTTTCTTAACACAAAGGTTACAGAGGCAGCCACGTTCATGTGACAAATGTAAGCTTTGGAACCAGAAAAATTCAAGTTCAAATCTCAGCTCCATCCCCCTACCAGCTGTATGATCTTGGTCAAATAACTATTGGTGCCTCAGTTTCCTCGTCTGAAAAATGCAATCAGTGAACGAACCATGGCATAGCACAGCTGTGAGTATTAGAGGAGACAGTGCCAAGTACAGGGACTCGCGTGGGCCTGGCCCCTGGTACGCCACGGTCAATGGCAGTTGTTGTTATTGCTGTTATTACTGTCATTAGTATTTATAGCAAGAAAGTAGAAGAGGTTATGGTCAGTTTTATCAACCTCAGACCACTCACTTCCCTGCCCCGTCTTCTGCCTCAGCCTGCTTGTTCTATAATAATGACCTCCCAGAGATGGTGTAAAAGGCAGTCAGTCAGCAACCCCTTCTGGCCCTCTGCAAAGCCCTTGGTCGTGGGCCTGGGAACTCACCTGCTGGCAGCTGCTGGCCCAGGAGGCCCTGAGGGCACCCCAGCTCTCTGAACGCCCAGCCTTGCTTTCCAGGTGCATCCGCAGTTCTGCCTCCAGCTCCTGGCTGATTTGCTCGAGGGCATGCACTTTGGCCATGTATTCCACCAGGCAGCCCCCCAGGTCTTCAACAGCACTGAGGTCCCTCTCTAGGCCTGGAGCAGGCGCTGTGGCCAGGCCTGAGCTCCGCAGCCCCTGCAGAAAGACACTGCTGATGCCCAGGGCTCGGCGGGTCACACGGGCACCCAGGCCACCTGTGTACCCACTGGGTGCCATCCCTACATAGACCCTGGGTGCTCGGACCAGGCCACTCATGGCATTGGTCCTGGAGGTCGGGGGGCTATCGAGGGGGGATGATGACCGTGTCCCTCTGAAGGATGCCCTGTGCCTCTGGAGGGACATGCCGGAGCTGGGACCGGCGGGCGCATCCACCACCACTCGCTTTGAGCTCATCACCCCTTCTGCCTCTGCTGTGCCTAGTGGGTTTACAGAGTCCAGTGGCTTTTGGTTTCCAGCCCCAGTGTCCCTGTGGTCTGGTCATGGGCCTCTCTGGAAGCTCCTCTAGCCCCAGGGCTGCTTTGTCTGCTGTTTTCCATGAGCTTCCATCATTCACTGAGCTGAAAGAGAAGCGGGCTCTGTCCAGGCCTGCATGCAGAGAGGCACTCGTGCATTCTCTGGAGGATCATGTGCCAGACCTCCCAGATTTTTCTGCTGGTGGTGGGGGAGGCTGGATCAGTGCAGGCTGTAGGGGCGGCTCATCTGGGTGTTTGTATTTCGCTACCGAAGAGAGGGCAAGGCTTGCATCGAGCAGCCCCATTTCACAGATGAGTCAATTGAGGCTCAGATCACAAGTGCAGTGAGTGGCTGAGCCAGGACTCAATCAATCCAGTTGTTCCAGGGCCAATTTCAGGGCTTTCTACATCCTTACGTGTGCTGTGTCCATGAATGTGCAAATGCGCACACGTCTAGACCGGTAACAGAGGATGGAAACGGATGTGAACCAGCCACGGCAGGAGGCAGCCCCAGGGTGTCAAGAGAAACAAACCAAGTCTTTTGCTCCCTTTCCGCTCCCTCCGTCCTGGCCGCAGCGGCAGGTCCCTTCCTAGCATCTTTCTTCCCTTGAAAACCGCTGTTCATCGGCCGCTTCACCTGGACTGCATTGTTTCTTCCCTTCTCTGGACTGTACTTTCCACTCCCTGGCCTGGGCTCTAACTCACTACTGCATTAGACAAGGGATCTTGGGCAAATTCAGGTCCCACACAGGTTGGGCACCTATTTCCCTCTGGCCGCTGCCTGTACATCTGTTTTCTCATCTGTCAGTAAAACAAAGAGACAGTTTTCCAGGAAGCTCTTAAGCCTGTACATCTGTTTCCTCATCTGTCAGAAAACAAATAAGTAAAACAAAGAGACAGTTTTCCAGGAAGCTCTTAAAGGGTACTCCAGGTTAGGATTGGATGACGCCCCCTGGTTTTAATTCCTCAGAACCCGCTAAGGCATGTTGTCGTGGTCCCACCTCAATCACTTCTCAGGCCCAGAAAGGATCCTCCAGCCCCAGGGGTGACATAATGGACCTAAAAACCACTCCACTCAAGTTTTACCCTAGAGAAACCAAGCAACCAAAGCCCAGAGGCTAAATATTTGTCCCAGATCCTGTAGCGTGGGAATACACCTCCAGTGAGAGAAAGGAAGGGAATCGACTTCCAGCGTGTGCTGAACCCTTTCCGGGGCTGTGTATGATTTCTGTATTTTATTTCGTGAGTCCTCAGTTCAACCTTAGGAGGTAGGCACAGGGTTGACATGTACTGCCATTTGGGCTGCACACCACACGACTCCAGGAATATCACTGCATGTCCTATGATTGGCTTTTGTCCCCTTATGTGACGAGGACCTTGAGAGCTGCAATGACTTGCCCCACGTCCCATGTTCAGAAAGTAGCAGAGCTGGATAAGAAGGAAGGCCCCCTCTGACTCCTGGTCCAGTGACTTATCTAGGACAGCCTCTGTGTGCCACCAGCCAGAGAGCAGGGTACCTACCCAAGGTCACGCGGGAAGAGTTAAAAACCCTGGTCACCTACTGGAATATTCTATGTGTTCTTCCTTGCTGATTAGGACACTACAATTCTTTTCTTTTTTTCTTCTACTTTGCCTTTTTGAGATGACACAGAAGGTACTTTATAAATATCAGCGCTGGTTATCTGATTGACAGATTAAGGAACCAACGTGATCAAGTAAAGGCCGGCAATGTCCCTCATTTTTTTAGACGTGGTATTCTTACTGTGAAGGGCCCATGGTGCCCATCAAACTGTGTTATGACAACATCCTAATATGTGTGAGGCTTACTGTGGGTTCTGAGAAGCTGCATCCTTGTGAATTCCAAGATGTATTGTCCAAGGCTACATGAAGTATTCAAGCTACTAAGTTGTTTGCAAAAGTTTAGGTACTATTATTCTCTACAGGATGGCAACACTCAGTGGCCAGGTTAGCTTCAAATTTCCCTGACCCAAAGATATTTATAGTAAAGGTCCAAGCCCTGGGGAGGGGGAAGGTAAGGAGGAATAGCCCCTCATCGACACCAGTGTCTCCAAAGACCTGAAACGAGATGATTCTTTTTTGGAGAAATCACAGACATGTTTTAAAGGTTTTGTCTTATCAAATGATAAATTGCTAATCCTATTGGCTCATAACTCTCATAAAACCCAAAATATATTAAAAAATACAGATGGCTATTAGGTGGTATTAATACTGAAGGAAGACGTAAAAGTTATTTTAAAATGAAAAGAATGCAAGATGTATTAGCAACTTAGTCCTCTGGCTAACAAAATAAGTTTATTTATATATACATGGTAGCTGAATTCTGTTGATAAGGAAAAATAAGTCATACATCCACATATGTATATATAACATATGTATCTTTGATTACATATATTATATATAAATTTGACTTTACAAACAGATTTCTTTCTATATATACACACACATATTGATATATTGAATGTAATAGCTAACAAATATTATGATGACGTTAAAAGGTCAGACAACAGCACACTGGAAAATGAACCTCAGCTCAACATTTAACCTGCTCCTTTGTGAGTCAAAGAGTCTTTGAAGAGAGACAACCAGTGAATCCATGTTAAGTACATTCATACAACACTGAAAACACATTTTTGAAGGCCATCTTTTTTTTTTTTTAAAGGAAAATGTAGAAAGAAAGGAAAAATTCATGATAAAAAGATCACAGCAACAACACGAACATGTGGACCAACATTCAAATTCAATTCTCAATCTGACTATAAGAACATCTATATTCAAAATATACTATCAAACTATTTTTCTTTTAGAGAAAGGAAGTGTTAAAGCGGTTATCTTCTGTCCCAGCCACTAACTATTAGGAAAAACAAAATGGAGAAGCAGCCATCTCTGGAAGGCCCTCTCTTGTCTCTGAGGGTCTGACCCCCCGTTGGCCGAGCTGGACGTGGTGTGGGTGGGGGAGGCTGCCCGCTGACGGGAGCGATGCGGCGGGTGCGAGGGGGGCGGGAATGGAAATGAGAGCTGACTGGCACGTCCATCTGCTGACCCCCAAGTGGGTCTGCAATGCTGAGGTTCTTCTCTCGAGCTGTCGCTTTGGCAATCTCGTTGTTTTAAGATCACAGGAAGATGATTTAAAACATTACAGCTCCACACTTCAAGGCTTTGTACATAGACATATTCCTCAGGGGCACAATCCAATGGCCTTTTGAGAAAATGAAGCTGGACCCCAATAAACATGTGATCCTTGAAGAAGGACAAGAATTTTCAAGCTCCAGGCTGGGATCCGCATCTAAACCCTCTCCAAAGAAAGGCACGAGTGTTGAACGCAGATGTGGGGTGGTGGAGAGGATGCAGGCATGTGCTTAGAGGGGGCCTTCTTTCGCCAGGGAAAGGCAGTCCTGCGGTTAGCACAGCAGAAGGCCCCTGTTGTGTGATGTTAGTGGGACCGGGCCTCGGGGTGCCCGATGAACTCCTTGGGTCCTGTAGGGCTGCTGCCCCTGCCTGCGTCTGCTTGGATGGAGTTACACTCAACAGCCAGTGTGCCCGTGCGAGGCCCCAGGGCACTCCTCTGCTGGGATGATGATGTGTTCCCTGTCCTGCTTTAGTACATGAGTCTGTCATCCTCTTGCCCCGAGGTGGCCCTTCACTGATGTGCATAGGACGGGGGAGACAGGGGTCTCACAGAATCCAGAGGAACCAGAGCTTTAAGAATCACTCAAAGGGCCGTGCACAGGACCGTATAACACTCCGGTTCTACAGGTGGGTCTCTTCCCTCACCTGCCTGGGGCTGCTGGGCCTCCCAAGTGCTCAAGGACAGTTAGTAAGAGAAGCAATTAATGCCACTGCTTTGCTTAGAAATACCTTTATTTTATAAAGCCATGGACTGTTCTGTAAAGTTGTTTTTGTTTTTGTTTTTTTTTTAACCACACTTATAAAAAAGATGTTGACAATTCATAGGGGAAAAAAAAAGCTGAAAATGTTTCTCATTAAGTCAGGGCTACACAAAGATTATATTTATAATATATATTTGTATATTTATAATTTAGAGACGAAAGGTAGGGAACGGCAAAGCGAGGGCTGCTATGGTTAGATCTCTGATACCTGATCGTTTCCCACAAAGAGCGTTTCTTGGCAGAAGGGGTTAACAAGAACCATCCCAGTGTCTCTATAGTCGCCGTTGGCTGGGGAACGGGGCTCCGACAGCTGGTCCTGCAGGGAGAGAGACGAGGAGATAGTGTGAGTTAGGAGGCTTCACGGGCTGCCATTCTTAAAGCAACGTACCCACAGGGACATTTATTTCCAAAAAGAATTGCTTGGTAAACATTTTTCATCATCCTCACTGCCAACGCTGAGGTGCACAGCCCTCTTTGCTCTTCTTTCAGATTTTTACAGCAGCTTCCAAAAAAAAGATTTCCTACTTCCTGACTCACTCTCACTTCAGAGATGCCAGAGATGGCCCTGTTCTCCTTGTCAACGTGCGAGAGGGCTCTCTTGCCATGTTTGACACACAGCGCAGGGCTCACTGCCCCAATGGGCAAAACCTGGTCCACCTGGGCCCCAGACTCTCCTTCCTGCCTCTCTCTCACAGATGTCTGGGAGACTACATTGCTTTTCCTTTCTGAACACACCCTACACTTGCCTACCTCTTTCCTCTCCTGCCACCCAGTTGTCAGAGCCTTCAAGGGCTAATTCCTCCCCTTCTGAACCCTCCGAGAGTCAGAATCCGTGCCCCATTTCTCGTAGTAATAGATGTGCTGAGGTGAACGGAGCTGAGTCTCCGTATGACTGCACAATCGGTGGTATGTGAAAAAGTCAGTCTATCTACACAGCCCCAGGAGAAGAAAAGCCTAGAGACAGGCAATCCACTGCTCAGGCCATCTGAATGGCTGTGGCCTCCACTACCAAGGACTGCAAGCTTTTGTGGGCCACTGAATGGCTGTGAATGACTCAGGCCCAGGCAGTGATGTAGGGGGAAAAGTCATAGCTTGTTCCAATTCTAAACAACTGGAGTCTCAGAACCTGCAGGCAATTCCAGGGAGAAGGCTCAGCCACAGGCTCGGGTACAACCGGCTTAAGTTTGACTTGCTTAGATGTCTTCACTTAAAGAAGCCACAATGAATTCTCTGAAGTTTACTTTTAAGCAAAACATATATAATTTTTGATGAGTTCATATTGCATTATAGAGAATAAGGAGGGAAAGGAAGAAATGCCACTTGTTGGTCAAATGTCCTCTCTGAAGACAAGCGTTTCCTTCAATGTTTTCAATTAGTTGAGTGTCCATCTGAGGGGCAGACGTGGGCTAACTCTCTAGGGGACAGAAATTCTCCATCTTCCCTGGGCTTTTGGATTGAGCTGTGGAGGGGACTTTGGCTTGTCATTTTACAGTTCTTGCAAAACAAGTATTCACCCAGGGTGAACCATGTGTGGACTTTTCACTGCATAAAAAAGAGAAAGTTATTTAAGAAACAACGAAAATAAGAAATAAAAAAAAAAAAAAAGAGGAGGAGGAGGGGAAAGAAGAGGGAAAACGAAGAGCAAGCATGGAAAAGTTCCCAAGCACCTTTGGGGTGACAGTTTTGCCCGCGTGGCCCAGACTTGTGTTTTGCTGCTGTCGTGGACCCAGAAAAGGAGCAGGGCACAAGACAAACCTGCTCAGGCAAAGCCCTGGGCAGCCGCGGAAGCTGGCAGCCAAAAGGCAGGTGGTGAGTGCACGGCTGAGGCTGTGGAATACCGTGGAATGTTCCCTGGGACTGTATGAGCACTCTGCGGGTGGCCTGCAGTGCACGCATGTGCCCAGAGAGCCGGAACAACTGTAGCATTACTCTAAATACAGCAGAGTGAGGGGAGCAGGCCTGCCGGGAGCCAAACTGAGCTTTGTGCTGCTGGTTTTCTTGTGTATCACTCTAAATAAAGCAGAGTGAGGGGAGCAGGCCTGCCGGGAGGAAAACTGATAAATCCACCCTGAAGCCAAACTGAGCTTTGTGCTGCTGGTTTTCTTGTGACCGCCTGATCCTGAGCTCATGGCTGGTGGGGGTGGCCCCTTTACCTGAGCCTCTGGCTTCTGTCCCATGCTGGCCCTGGTGCTCTGGGCTAGAATGACTAACTGGCCCTTTCTATGGTGCACTCACAAGCACTGTCGTTTGGCTTTGGTTTACATTTGTTGATCTGCAAAGAGAATATGAGAAATTGAGAGTTCAGGGGTTCATGGCCCACACGCAAAGTGGGGGCCGCCCCTTGGCCAGGTTACCCATTTTTCACTCACTGTAACGATTCTCAGGTACACTTTTGCTATGCAAAATGTGCACTGACTGTACTAAAGGCCAAGGCCTTCACGAAGCCCATCTCTCTGCTTGTCCTTCAGTTAAAGCTTTTATTGAGCATTCACTATATGTTGGGCTTTGGCCTGGGTGGTGAGTAAATTGTGAGTAAAACTTTGGGTTCATTGGTGTGACAAACATTTACTGAGTACCTATCAAGAGCCGGGCACTGTTGTAGGTGCTAGAACAGAGCAGGGAGAAGAAAAATCAGGCTCTTGCTCTCAGGCAGCTTAAATCTAGCAGGGGGAACAGATGACAAACCAGTCAACAGAGAGGGGACGATGCAGTGGCAGGTGGTGAGAAGTGCTCTGAAGAAAAATAAAGCAGGGAAGGGAATAGAGCACCATGGGGTTGAGGGCGGGCTTCTAATTTGTATAGAGCTGTCAGGGAAGGCCTCCCCAGGATAGGTGACATTGGAACAGAGACCTGAAGGACGTGAGGGCTGGAGGCAGCCAGGAGCAGAACATTTCAGATAGTCACAAAAGCAAAGCTCTAGGGTGGGGATATGCTCACTGTGTTGGAGAACAAAAAGGTGGGTGTGGCTTCAGCATCTGATCAAAGGGAGGTCTGGCAGGAAGCCAGCAGGCAGGTGGGCGGAGGCCGGCCCTTGAAGGCTCTGGTAGGAGGAATGTGGATTTTGTTCAAAGTGTGAAGAGGAGCCATTTGAGGATTGGGAGCCATGGCTGACAGGAAGTCCTGTCTTTAGAAGACCATCTGGCTGTGTGGAGGACAGACTGTAGGACACAAGACAGTAGCGGGGAATCCTCTTTTCAAAACAATTCATGATTGAGGGATGACGGGAGCTCGGATGAGGTGGGCAGCAGTGCAGGTGGTGAGAAGTGCTCCTGTGTAGGAAGAACCAGTGGGATCTGCTGACAGACCGGAAGTGGGGTGTGCGAGGGGAAAAGGCAGCTGGCAGCACCATCGACATAATGAGAAATATCAGGTGAGCTCCTGGGTGTTTGGGTGGGGAGAGGGGAAGCAAGCGTTCGGTCCTGGGCATGTTGACTTGGAGATGCCCATGAGATGTGTGCATAGTAGCTGAGTGTATGAGTCTGGAGTTCAGGGGGGAGGTCAAAGCCAGAAATAGAACTGGTAGTCAACAGTGCGGAGATGGTATTTAAGGTCATGGAACAAAGCAGAAAGAGAAGCAGTGGGAAGAGTGAGCCTGGGCACTCCAGTGATTAGAGGCTGGGAACCAATGATGGAGGCTGGGAAGAAGCTGCTGGGAGTTGGGGAGAACTGGGGCAGGACAGAGTCCCAGATGCCAGAGAAGAAATATTCTGAAGAGGGGATGACTGCTGATGCTGGTGGCAGAGCAGGTAAGGGAAGCGATGGTTAGACGGGGCCTGAATGATGAGTAGGAGACAAGTGAAGGGGGTGCTAGGGAGGGACAGAAGACATCCAGGAGAGGGAACAGCTTATGCGCAGCTGTGGAGTGGGATGTAACTTGGTGCTGTAAAGGGTAAGAAGAAATCCAGTGTGTCAAAATGATCGACTGCTGATGCTGGTGGCAGAGCAGGTAAGGGAAGCGATGGTTAGACGGGGCCTGAATGATGAGTAGGAGACAAGTGAAGGGGGTGCTAGGGAGGGACAGAAGACATCCAGGAGAGGGAACAGCTTATGCGCAGCTGTGGAGTGGGATGTAACTTGGTGCTGTAAAGGGTAAGAAGAAATCCAGTGTGTCAAGAGCTTAGCCAATGAGAGGGAGAGGGGCATGAAATAAGGCCAGAAATTTGGGCCGGGGCCAGGGCCAGTTCCACCCTGTAGGTCCTGTAAAAGACTTGAGAGCACCAGGAAGCCACTGAAGGATTCTGAGCATGAGAGCGATGTGGTCACATTCATGCTTATTAAAGCTCGCCCCGGCTGCTGTGGCGGTAGACCTGCACGGGAAGAACCACTTGGCTGTCACTGCCTTTACTCAGATGTCCACCACCTTTCTCATGGACATCTCAACTGCATCCAAGTCGATCTACTTGTGTCTAGTCTGTATTTCTGTCTGTCCTCCATTGATTCATCCATCCAATGAACCATCCATCCTTTCCTTCCTTTCCATTCATTGATCATGTATAGAATGCCATCACCAGGCCATCTGCACAATCTTTCTAAAACTAGGTCACACGCAAAGCTCAAAACTTTTAAGGACCTTCTGCTGCCCAAGACTAAAGTCCTTTCAACCCCATTCAAGAGCATACCTCATCCATCTGCCTTTCCTGCTGCACCCTGGCCTCTGCCCACCTTCCGCATGAAAGTAGAAAGATCATAGACTCTGAAGACAAAGAGACTGGGGTTCAAAGCCCAGCTCTCTCACTGGCCAGCCAGGTGTTTTGGCCAAACACTTCCTTCAATACCACACCCAGCACATATCCCCATCTTTACTGAGGCTACTTCCTTTGCTGAAATACCATCAAAATCCACTCATCCCTCCTACCACCTCTACTATGAAGACTTTCCTCACCTGGGTTTCCACAGCTCTCTGTGAACTCTTCTTACATCTCCCCTAGTTTGCTTTGCTTTTGAATGATGCTTGGGGTTCATATCTCAACCACACCTTGGAATCTGGGTCCCTTGAGAGCAAGCTCTCATGTTCATAATCCCTAGGGAGCAGCTGCCACAAAATGGGTCCTCAATGAATATTTGTTGACTCGTTCCCAGAATCCAAAAGTCTCAAGAACAGTGCTTCTAAAACTTGAACATGTGCATAAAGCACCTGGGGATTCTTGCTAAAATAGATATCTTGATTCAGTAGGGCGGGGCGGGGCTGCAGCCTCCTGGCTGCTGCTGCTGCTGGTCCCTGCAGCATCCTTTGAGGAGCAAGATGCTCAGAAATAAGCAGATGCTCCATAGTTGTCTTTGTAGCTGCTGCCTTTCCAGGCAGTGGGGTCAGCACTTGCAGAGGGTACCCATGGTTTTAGGCTCATTACCTCGGAGGTTTCGAGGGACTGGATCTCCCTGGGTAACTCCACAGCATGCTTGTTGAAGTAGTCCATGGTGATGGCGTTGTTCCAGTAGCTCAGGTTGTTCTCCGGGTTGGCTGTCTTCTTCTTCCTCCTCAGGCAGCACACTGTCAGCAAGACAGCTGTGGAGAGAGTTCAAGTTAGAGAAAGGAAGGGAGGTGACAAGCACAGAGCCAGCATTGCCGAGTGACAGATGCCAGTCTCCAGGTGGGGCTGTGATAGTCATACATTCAGCCACTTATCCCATCCATTAATTCATCTGTTCATTCGTTCAACAAATATCTACATATGTTGAGTGTCTATTTTGTGCCAGATGCTAGGGAGATAGGAAATGGGGGGGAAAAGAAAAAAAAAGACAAGGCTGCCCTGCTTTCATAAGCTTCCCTCCTAGTGTGCATGTGGAGGGATGCAGAAGGGGTCAGGCAATATGTAAGCAATAAACAAAATGAATAAATAAGGTAAATTCAGATGGTGATAACTGTTCAAAGAAAATAAAACAGGGTGAAGTGAGAGAGACAATGGAGGGAGGTTGGGGGCGAGGGTGCTTTAGAGTCATCATGAAAGGCTCCCCTGAGGAGGTGACCCTAGAGCTGAGAACAGAACGTGGGGAAGGAGCCAGCCATGTGCCGAATGGGGGCAGTGTGTTCCAGGGAGCGAGAACAGCGCGTGCAAAGGGCCTGAAGTGAGCATGAGCTTGGTGTGCGTGAGACAAGAACAGCATCGCTGGAGCGAAGTGAGTGTGGCAGAGTGAGGTAGGAGACGAGGCCAGAGCAGCCTCTAGAGGCTGCATCCATAGGGCTTAGGGGCAAGACTGGGATGTAATTTCAGTAATCCGTAGTTATCTGTGCAGGTCGGAGTGCCACTCCCTGAGTCCGTTCCAAGAAAAGGCCTTGCTCCCTCGGTGGGAAGGCTGCCCAGAGCCTGGCTGCCGTGAATGGCATGTGTGCTCTGAGCTGCACTGCTGGATTGATGAGCAGGAGGGTGGCAGAAGAGGGGCAGTCCTAAATAAGCGCTTGATTCTCATAGAGGGCCTTGATGGCACGGGCCCACAGAGCAGAATCACTGGGCAGAGGTCTTGGCATCACCATCATCATCACCATCATCATCATCATCAATCTCCCCCACCCCATAGTTATATAGTGCTTATGTGCCAGGCAGGGTTCCAAGACTTTATAAGTATTAATTCATTTGGTCCTCCACTTGTCTCCATGAGATCAGTACTATTAGGTTTCCATATTAGACTATTAGGAAAACCGAGACTCGGAGAAGTGAAGTGACTCACCCAAGAGCAAACCCAGACATCTGGACTCCAAAGTCTGTGCTCTTAACCATCCATGATTCTGCCTCACACAGATATGCCAAAGACTGATGCAGCAGCCTGTACTGCACAGCTGGGCCTGATCAAGGCTCTACACAGCTTGATAGGCGACCCTGTCTGTTCCATCTCTGAGACTCCTGGGGTCCCAGGGAGGAAGGAGTAGGTTTGGATGTTGATGATGAACTGGTGTGGACACAGTGGCTTGGGCATGTTGACAGGGAAGGCATCTGAGGTCAGAGAGGTGAGACGGACTGTCCAGGCTCACACAGTGGAACAGATGATGCAATGACAAGAGTGACAAGAGCCCTCCTGGGGAGAAGCCAGTAAATGAAGACTGGGCATCTCCTGCCTGGGCTCACCATCACCAGAGCCTGTAGGGTGGGTGAAACTCCAGGCAAGGCTGCACCCAACACCCTGGAGGGGTCAAACATCTGTGCTGAGGAGGGGAACCCAGGTTGAGCTGTCCACAGAGGCTGGCACCATGATGACAATGGCCACCAGGGGAAGCGGAGGGCCAGCTTTGTCTACAGCAGCTCCAAGGGTCTGGCTAGCACCACGGGGAACTCTGCAGGCAAAGGTGTGGTGAGCTAGATGCAAAAGTTGGCACGCACACAGAGACCTCAGGACCTACACCCCAGACCTCTGTGGGAGGAATTCCCCTGATGGAGAAATTCTATAGCTCTCTTCCTGGCTGCCAGCCCTGCCGGCATCTCAACCTGAGAAGGCCTACGGATAAGGTCAAGAGATATGGCAAGTTTCCACTTCGTCTGATCTGCTTTGATCAAAAACACCTCTAAGTTGCTCACCACTCTTCCAAGTGCCCTTAAAAAATGTTTTAAAAATATAAAAGAAATATATGAATGTTTGAGCTAAAAGGAATCTTAGATTGGCTGGTATAGACTTGTTCAAATGGTGTGGGTCTCCCCCTTCTTCCCTTCCTTCTTCCCTTCCTTCTTTCCTTCCTTCCAAAGAGCCCTTTCTTCAGCTGGTTGAAGGAGGAATGGGGGATGGGGGTGAGTGAGATGCAGAGCTCAGCCTGATTTAGGACACCTCCTTATTCCCCAGAAGAGAAGACTGTGATCCAAAGGATCTAGCTGACTCGCCACAGGTCACAGGGCTGTGAGTGGCAGGGCTGGGGCAAGACCTCAGGTCCTGTCTCCCTATTTCTGGTGTCTGTATTCTTCACTGTCACTACCTTCCCACCCTGCTCCTGGAACTGGAATGGTGAAATAGCCTGGGAGAATTCAAGCTGGTGAAACAGCAGCCACAATGAGGGGGTCAGGCCGCAGTGAAACCGCACCAGGGCTGGCACAGGTCGTGGAATCTAGGTCCCCTCATCCTCCTCCCCTCCCCCCAAGTCCAGTGCTTCCTCTAAACCCACTCTGCCCTGGTTCCAGAGCCTGGGCCTGCTTTGGATCCCGAGAGAAGGGCTGGCACTGCTGCGGATGGCCTAGGGGCTGAAGCAGAGGCTTCTGTTCTTAGCTCCCCCCACTCCCTCCCCGCCATGTTAGTGCTCTGGGCCTGATTGTTATTTCTCTCAGGAGTTCCCATTGCCTCTCAAGTGCCATGTCACTGATATTCTAGAAGCTGGCCTGGCTACAGAAAGAGAGCATGGGCTTGACGTCCGAAAGACTTGGGTTCGGGTCTGGCTCTGCCGTGTATTACACTAGGTAAGTCACTTCATCAGGCTGATTACTACAGACTTCGCAGAGTTGTAATCAGAGTTAAAGACATAATGAATGCAATTACCTAGTGCACTACCTGACACACAATAGGTGCTTAATTAATGAGAGTTTTCTTCTTGTTCTCCCAGCATCCTCCATAAGAGGTCTAGAAAGAAAAATTGGGCTGCATGATTGTTCGATGGCTCAAGGCCAAGGCTTCTCCATTGTGGTTTACGATTTTCATTATTTCCGTGGTCTGACCTTTAATCCAAGAAAGGACAGTACAACTTGGACTTATGGAATCTCTAACATGTTCCCAGACCTGACCTAGGTGCTTTACAGCCTGATTTAATCCACTAAGTGTCTGAGGAAGGGAATGTTATGCTTCCCAGTTACAGAAGAGGCACCTGAAGCTCATGGAAGTTTGCAAAATTGATCCTGCTCACCCAGCTAATTACTGGAACTTAAACCCAGATCTCTGTGACCTTCAGGCTGATGCTTGCTGTCCCATATTGTCCTACCACTGGAGGGAAAGTACCTTAGGCATGTGGAAGCACTTTAAAAACTACACGGCTCTGTGCAAACGCAAGGCGTTGGCCACCCCTTTCCATTTTAGTCAAAAGCTTCAACAGCTGTTTCTCTAAAGGCAACAGCTGTCAAGACTCTAGGTTTTAAAATTGGAGAATTAAGCAAGTTCTCTTGTCTTCCTAGGAATGTCAATGGGGAAATGTCCATGGCTTGTCAGATGTATGACAGGAAGGAGGAAAGTCATTGCTTTTAAGATGGAGCGCTGGGTACTGTGTTGACATTTTTGGGAGGGAGATGATTCCAGGGATGGGACTGTGTGACAGGAAATGGAAATAAACTCCTACAGGTTCTCTGAGGATTCAACATTTTCAAACCTTCTAAAAGTGCTCTCTTCATAACCTGTTGGAGAATACACAGCAAATCCTAACAACAATCAATGAATAGCCATCGCTATATGGCTCCTGCCATTTATTGACTAACTTCTCCATGGCAGATACTGTGACAGGACCTTATAGGCATCATCTCTGATTTTCACAACAGGTCTTTGGGGTGGGTGCTGCAGCCATGAAAATCCCCTGCTCAGATCTCCTGTGCAGGGAGCACAGCTTGGGGACAGCCCCAGTTGCCGCCCCCTGGGTCCACCGTCACGTATGTGCTGACGGCACGCTTCCCAGCCTGCTCCCAGCCATGACTGATGGTAGCAGAGGTACTGGTACCAGCCCATTCCTGCAGGACAGGGGACTGAGGGCTCTCTCATGCACTGAGGACTCCCACTGGCCTGTCAGAAACTTCCTTAAAACTGCGCCACAGTCCAAGACTCTTCCTACCCACTCCTCCTCGTCCCTCTCCCTTCACAGGTCAGACCTGCACTGCAGTCTGAAGCTCTCCCTGCCTGATCCAGTCCCTTCCTTTATATATCACAGGTGTTTCCCCAATAAATCTCTTGCAGGCCTAACCCCATCTTGGTGTCTGCCTCCCGAAGATCTCGAACTAACACGATGGACACTAATCCTATTTTTACAGGTGAGATCTTGGAACGATGATTAAACTGCTTGTCCAAGTCCAACAGACCGTGAGTGGGAGAGCTGAAATGGCGTCTGGGTATGTCTAGTCCTCAAGCCACGTTTTCCTATCACATCAGGCCTCCTCTCCAGTCATTCATGCAGGTTTAAAGTTAGGCAATGTTAGGACAGGGAGCTCTGACATGTTTTAGTGTGGCCATTTCATTTGGTACATGAAAAACCTGAGACCTTACAAGGAAGGTTGGGTCCAGCAGTGCCACCTATGGGGCGAGCCAGGCTGTGCACAATCATTTTCCTCCTCAGAGGCTGAGGGAGGAGGCCCAGAAGAGGCGTCAGGGTATGGAAGGAGGCCAGGCTGGACACGAGGCCATAGACCAGGGGGAACCAGGTCTGGGGGCTTACTGTCTGGCTTCCCATCCTAGCTGGTGGGAGTATGTCTGAAGAAGTCCAAAGAAATCCCCACCAGGGGGCGCTGGTTGGGAAACACAGAGATGCTGTGAGAGCGCGGGCCTGACTCTGGTCCAGCCGAGGTGACAGCCCCTGGACCAACCCTGCCTTGCCCTGAGGCTTCTCCCCCTCTTCCTCCTTCAACTGGTTCATAAGCCTCGGAGGAACCTAGTCACACTTCCTTCTCGTTCCAATCTCTTCTTTTCACTGGAAAGAGTAATTCTGACCCAGGTTTTCTTATATAATAATTATAAAGTCATTTGGGGCCTATGAGTAAAAGGTACGTACATACATTCAGATTTGACTATTATTCAAAGAAAAACTAATATAGCCAAGAACCGTGTTGGGCACAAGGACATGGTATCTCTTTGAATACGGCACTGACATTCCTATGACATTTACTGTACGTCTAGAAGGAAGCCGGACTGCTCTGGGGCAGGGTGCACATGGCCCCTCACACATCCGAGGTCAGCGAGAGGTGCTCCTCTGCTCTGGCCGGGCTCAACTGGATTGATGATGAAAGACATCTGCAGCCGGCCTTGCTTCTTGTTCTCGCCCTCCATAAAGCCCTCATCTTTTCCCAGGGAGGCTGGGTGAAGACATTCTCAAGAATGGATGTGGCATATGCAGAACAGGCCAGGGAGCCTGGAAGAGACACAAAACTGACCTCGTGATGAGAACCCAGGGCCCCGACAGTGGTGAGCAAGGATCTCAGTGCCGGACCCTGAGGCTTCTAGCAGGAGGTTCTGGGCTCTGTCCTGATGGTGGCAGCAGAGACCAGCTCAGACCAGCTTCCCTGCTCCAGCCCACCGTGGCCTGGATCCGATCAATTTCGGTTCCCAGCACATAGTAAACCCTGTGAGGCTGTCCCTGGCAAGGCTCAGGAGACAAAGCATTTCTTGGTCTGTCACAGATGTCCTCAGCCATTGGGGGGGGCGGGAGGGACGGCTTGCGAGCTGGAAGGGCAGGTGGAACTGATGACACCCCTCTACGGGCAGGCTTCATATCTGCTATGCCCACCCCCCCACTTCTTCCAGAGCAGGGGATCACCCACCTGCCTGGCAGTCCCTGCCATTTGAAGTCTGGCTTCCGGTGGATGGAGGGAAGCAGGGCCAGGGCCATGGCTGGTCTGAAAAGCCAGATGCGTGGAAATCTATGCATGCGCTTTGCTACCAGCCGGATGCCCGAACTACCTGGCAAACTGGCAAAGAAGGAAAAACCTTCTTTGAGAGCTGTAGAGGGAGCTTTAGGATAAATGTCAGTGCTGGGAAGGTCCGAGACGGGGCCCTTAGACCTGAAAGAGGTCTGTTTGCCTGATGACCAGAGTGGGGTTGGGCTATGAAGACAGTCTGATAGAAGGACATTCTATCTTAATGTCCTTCTCATCTGGGACTTCACAGGGTGAATGACGGTCCCACAGGAGTTGGGGCAGGGGGCTGCATGTGGAAGAGGCCAGGGCGGAACCTGTGTGAGGCCTTAGGAGAGCCCGCCTCACGTGCTTCTTGGCTGTGTTAGTTTTTCTCTGTGGATGCTGGAGATGCAGATAGATGCCAAAGGAAGTGGGGTCTGTGGTTCCAAGGGGCTACGAGTCTGCTCTGAACAAAGCTTTCCTGTCATCCTTTACAAAGTAATATGTTCTATCCCTAGCACCTGTGGTCTCCTGTCAGTGCCAGAAGCGTTTTTGAGGTGCAGTTCCAGACCATGTCCTTACTTCTATCTTGGCTGACGTTATTATAAACGGCTTAGGCAGCCCATGGGTTTTCTGCCTTTGCAGTAAGGTCTGATTTAATCTCAAACTCATACATAGCAAAAGGGCTGGAGAAGTCTTTTTAGAGCTGCAAAACCCAGGTGGGTGTGGCCTGTGGCTGCAAAGGCTAGATCTACTCTATGGGGTCCAGCCCAGGCAGAGGAAGCCCAGCGGGGGAGAGGGCTTGGGAGTCGGGGAGGAGCCACATCACACACCTCTGACTCCCCAGTGCTTGGCACAGTGCCTGGCACACAGTGGGCACTCGGGAAATACTGTGTTGACTCAGACACATTCTACCACCAGATCTGGGCTGACCCATGTGTGATTGGGGCCCTGGGCATGTTCCTTCATCTGGTGACTTAATCTCCACGTGTAAGGTGTGTTCCTTGCTCAATGTGTTTACTTGTTTCTGTCATTATTTTATTCCTCTGGCTAGTCTGTTTTAAAGACAGAATGATTAAAAATGATGAGAACTCTGTAATCTAGAGCCTAGAGACACGTAAAGAATGGAAAATTAGAAAGCTGTTCCTAATGTGGTTACTTTTCTAATATGATCATAATTAATAATTCATAGTGCAATGTTTTCTCATCATTCTTTTGTTTTAGAAGGGAGCAATCACAGTTTTAAGAATACATGTGTATTTCAGGGAGAGAAAGCTGCTTAATGAAACAACGAAATGTGCAATCTACAAACATTTTCACTTTTCTTGAATTGGATCCTTGAGCAGAAGTAGGCGGTCCCCATCCCCGCCACCCCGACATGGAAAGCTGGCTTTGCTTATCAACCAAGAGAGACAAAAAGCTAGAAAAGGTGGCTCCTGGAAAGAACCCAGAATCTAGATTAAAAAGGTCTTGTTGGAGTACGATGCCAAGCAGAAGTCATTTTAAAGGCATACGCCTTCTGCACTAATGTCCAAACAACCCATGGCCCAAGCACAGGCTGGGAGACCTGGCTTAACAGCCTCCTCTGTGGAAAGTTCCTGGGACTTTGTTCCTCTAGAGACCCGGGTGAACGCGCGGTGTGACATGACAGTACGAGGACAGAGCTGATGCCAGAGCGGGTTGCCTGACCGGGACCAAAGTGTCCAAACAAAGGACCCATCATCCGTTTTCCTCCGCATGGCTGGGCGTGTGGAATGCTGTGCTCTCCCTTCTAGGGGAGCAGGGATAAGCGGGAGGCCATCTGGAGGGGCAGACGGGGTGGGGTGGGGGAGAGGGAGGCGGGGCCAGGGCACTGCAGTCCTGCGGAGACCTGAAGCAGGACCGTGCCTCTTGGACACCGAGCAGACTGGCTTCGAGAGCCTTCCCAAACATTTCAGGAGCTGATCGACTGGTTTTGTGTGGTTTCAGAGGATGTGGTTTAGGACCGTAGAGTGAAAATTACAAGGAGGCAAATGTCAGGCCCCCAAGAGAGCTAGGTAACAACCGGAGGGGTCAAAGGAGAATGGGCTGTCCAGTGAGTGAGGATCATGGTCTTGATAACTCTGTGGGGTGAGGCGGAGATCAGTGAGGATTCCTGTGAGGTTATCAGAGAAACTCTAAGAATCTAGGATCAAGTACATGGGGAAGACATAAAGGAAGCCCTAAGGTCCTGAGTGATTGCATCAGGTTTGTTATGGAGCCATCAGGGAGAAAGCTTCCTAACTCCTCATTACAGAATGACCGGCAGCAAGCAGCGAGGAGGTGCTGGTGGCCTGGGGAGAGCCCTTTTCCACCAATACCAGTGGAAGCAAAAGACCATGATGAGGTCCATCCTGCATCCAGCTCAAACCACCCATTAACAAACTAAAGAGGAGGAGGAGGAGGGAGAGAAGAGCTACATTCTCAAGTAATTCTCGAGCTTTCGTTTAGCTACGAGAATTGAATTACGTTTTCGCCAAGGCTAACAGAACTTCCTGCAAGATCCAAGCTTCATCTCTTCTTCCTTGCGGGAAGAGAGAGGGGAGGAGAAGAGGTGAGAGAGGAGAGCAAAGGCAGGGGAAAGGTGGACATGGAGCAGGAGAGGTAGGTGAGGGCTCTGCTCCCCGGAGGCTGTCAATTTGGAAATGACAACTTTCGCCTATGGTGTCTTGGTGCCACGTCACTATGAGCATTAGTAGGCCAACCGTGAAGGTAAATGGGGCAGGATGGTGTCACTGGGCTGTAAGACAGGTGCTTTGAGCTCTCATTCCAGGCCTGTCTCTAACTCTGGGGTCTCGGGTGAGCCACGTCACCTCTCCAGCTTAGTGTTTTTCTGCAAATGAAGAGTTAGATTGGACTACCCGTATGGTTCTCCCAGCTCCTGGGAGCTGTGCCTTTATAACCAGTGGAGACCTGAGCTGTAGCCTGGCAGAGCCAAGGATCAGGGGCAAAAATAACCCGCGATTTTTGTCTTGCCACCTTCTTTCCTGGGATTCTAAGAAGTTTTACAGCCCACTTCGTGGGGACTGCCCAACTCTGGGACAAAGGAATTCTGGAGATGGGCGAGCTGATGTGGCGGAGGGGGAGGAGAGGGGGGATGGTTAGGGGAAAGGGGTGGGGAGCGGGCAAGGCACTTACAGCAGGAGGAGATGGGCACGCTGATGGCCAGGATCACCCAGGCGATGTCCATCTTGCTCAGGCAGATGGTGGCTCTGTGCTGGGGTTTGTCCCCTTCGGCCACATGGGAGATGTTCCCTGCAGTTCCAGGCTTCCGGGTCCCCGCAGGGACCAGGCGGTTGAGGAAGTTTCCGGTGGCCGTGGATACCATCGTGGAGAAAGGACTGGGAACCCTGTCGGTCATGGTGGGGGTGGCCACCGCCTCCTCCTTGGCTCGGGAAGCAGTACTTTCTGAGACCCCGGGGGGTTGGGTTGGGGCCCGTGGGGGTGAGGATGTTCCCTGAGGAAGCCCCTTGGAAGAGGCTGAGACACTTGCACTGAAGGCAGCCTGGGTGGGCCCCGTGGCGGCCGTGAAGACTCTGGAGCTGGCAGACAGAGGTCTGTTGGTTCCAGGGGTGACAGTAAGCCAGGAGTCACTGGGGCTAGGACTGTCCTGGGGGTCACCACGGGGGTGCTGAGAAGGCACTGGGGCAGGCTGTGGGCTGGCAGGGGCACCTGAGGCTGCTGTGGCATCCGGCTTCCGTCCTCGGCTGGTGAAGGTAGGACCACCCCCCTGGTCTGCTCTGCTAAGGCCTGGATTGTCCTCTGTGGGCACCTGGGGGGTAGCGGGTGGTGCCCATGAGGTCCTGCTTGGTGCCGCAGTTGCAGCCACTGTCTGGGTCTGTGGTGAGAAGGAGGAGCCCCAGAATGGGTTCCTGGGGGTGAGGGTGGAGGGCTCAGCCTCCACAGACCCTGTGAAATTGCCTTTGTAGATCTGGAAGATTTTCCCCAGGGGCCTCTTCTGCCCCAGATGCGTGGAGCTCTGATTTCTTCCCCGCCAGCCTTCCTTCCTTCCGGAGTGGCCACCGAGTGCAGGCAGGACAGGACGTGAGGAGCTCCCGGCCCCCTTTCGGGAAGAGCCGGGGGGCCTGGGGGCCCTGCGTGTGGTAGCCCGGGTAGGCGCTGTGGTGGGACGGCTGGTGGCTCCAGTTGGCCTTGTCGGCAGGATGGTGGGCCCAGCCTCCCCCGGAGGGTGGCCCTCTGAGTGGGAGGATGTGGTTGCCGTGACAGCAGGAAGGGGCCCTGTGGTCAGTGGGCCTTCAGCAGGGCCGGTGCTTGCTGTTGCCATAATGGTGGAGACGGCGTTTGTAGGAGGGCGTCCATCTGGATGGGGTGTCTTCGTTGCTGTGGGGGCTTCAGCCTGTGAGGAGCGTCCATCGGGATGGGGGGTCAGTGGCACCGCAGAGGTGGGGGCAGCCGCCACGGAGGAGTGTCTGGTAGAGCTGAGGGGTGCTGTCACCATGGTGCCTGAAGGGAGGACCTGAAGAGATTCCCTGGGAGACGGTTCCTGGGCAGCAAATACCAGTGCTTCGGTCAGCGCCAAGGTCAGGAGGAAGCCTTGAGAGGGAGACAGAGAGAAGAGGTAAAATACCCAGGGAGTGGCTTGGTGCCTGGGCCTTCTAATCCGTGAACCTGTGAAGTGCTGTAACTCAAGGGGAATGTCGGGAGCCCTCCTGGGGTCCACACTGCGGCCCAACACTCACCAGACACGGAATCGTGTGGAACTGGGCAGGCCTGTTAGGTAGGTGCCACCCAGCACTGTCGGGAGAGATTCCAGCTCCAGGGGAACCAGAGCCAGTGAAATCGGCCAGGCCCATCCTTTCCCACACGCCTCTGAAATGCCAGCAGTCTTCCGCCCAACGCAGCTTCTCAGAATAGGCTGGGGCTGGGAGCAGGATGATAGCTTGTGGCCTCTGAGTGCCTGGTGGCCCTCTGTGGCCAGGGAGTGGTCAAGGCCGCCTTGACCACAGGGAGGCCGTGGCTTGGTGGAGCCACCCTGAGTAGAGTGAGGAAGGCTCAGGTGGCCAGAGCTGACCAACTGCCACGCCTCTTCTCAATCTTCCATTTATGAACCGGACAAAAGGACAAAAGAACAGACCTCTCTTCATTCAGGCCCACTCAGTGATTACGGAGGGCCTACCCTCTCCTTGACCTTGGAGGATACAAAAAAAGAACTGGGCCGTCTCTGGCCCTGGATGAGCTGGCTGGCATAGATCCATAAACAGTCCCGAAGAAAGGCAGGGGCATCTCAGTGCAGGCAGAAGGCAACGTGGGTCTAGAGGAGGGAGACCAGATCGGGCACCTGTAAAGCACTTAGCACAAAGGCTGGAAGGGAAGGTGTGGTCTTATGGTTGTCCTTAGTGTTAACTGCTCGTGTAGCTACACTATCTGTGGGAAATCATTGCTGATGCCTGGACTTTTTGAGTAGGCAGAACCCTTTTGAGCATTAAAAGAAAGTCATGGATTTTGCATAATGGTCAGCGTGTATGCTTTTAGTTCATTGAGAAAATGTACAAGAACGAAAACTTATAAATGTAAAAACACTTCTAAATATATGTGGATTAATCACGACAGCATATGCCTATATTTAAAAATAATACCCGACATAAATGTGAGACATAGGACCTATTGAGATCATAGACTGAAAGACTGGCCACCCCTGGACAACACATGGCCTGGAACAAGCAGCCTGACAGACCTCTGAGGCCTGATGCTGACCTGTGGACTCCTGCTGGTTCACATGCAGGTCACTCCCTCGTGCCCTTCCTTCAGCCCTGCTAGCCGACCAGGCTATGTTAGAGCAGAGAGCTGTCTTCTTCTGGTCACTCTCTTGGAACCTCCCTCCCCCAATATATTCCAGCAGGACAGATGGCGAAAGGGGGTCCCTGGTGGTGATTCCTGGCAGTTTGGGATGGTCAGCAAAGCTGCTGACAGGGGAAGGCAGGGACGCTGGTGAGCTTCTAGGATGCAGAGCAGGGGAGGTCATCTCCTGGCATGCCTTTGAAACAAGTCCTAGGATGACCTCTGGGGCCACCTCCAACCTAGGTGTGGAGTATGGTCTTGGAGTGGACCTGTGTCCCCACCCCCGTCACCCTGCACTTCTAAATCAGTGGGTGGGGGGAGGCTGAGGGACTGGAGACTGAGGGATCGGAGACTTCAGCACCCATGATCTCTAGGATAGAAACTGGAGATCCATCGGAGACTTCAGCACCCATGATCTCTAGGATAGACAGTTTGCTCTAAGCAACAATTTTTTCTCAACTTGCATTCGTGATCAAGCTTATACATCAACAGTGCGCTTCGCTTATTCAGGCCGATCCTTAAAACTGCTTACTGAGCACCCATTCCAGCCCAGTCATTCACACTCGATTTAATCCTCATAACCACTCACTGAGTAGGAAATTGAGGCTCAGGGAGATTAAGTAACATGTTCGAAGTCCTACAGTAGCAGAAGAATATGAAACCAGGGCTGTATCCAAAATGCATGCTTTTTCTGGTCAATCATCACCAGTCATACAGAAGGAGGACGAGGAAAGGAACTGCATCCACAGAAGTAACAGCCCGCTGCTGTGCTCTGACCAGCTCAGGGTTATTCAGCCCCTCCCTTGCAGTTTAATACCACACGGACAATTTATTCTTAGAACTGGCATCAAGACATCTGATGTTTTGAGGGATATTTCCGTATAAGCCTCTGCTTGGCTTCTGAGTGCCTCGGTTACGTGAACTGTGTTACCCCCAACTTCATATGTTGAAGCCCTAACCCCGCAGTACCTCAGAATGTGACTGTATTTGAGATAAGGCCTTTAAAGAGGTGATTAAGGTAAAATGAAGCCATGAGGGTGGGTCCTAATCCAATACGACTGGTGTCCTCATAAGAAGAGGCGATTCGAACACACAGAGAAACGTCAG